CTTTGCGTTTCAGTTCAGCAATACAGGATGACGGCCTTGCAAGCTGCTGCACGCCCCGAGACCTCCTCCTGGCAACCCTCGCCGGCGGAGGACAGGAAGCCGCTTCGGTCTGAGACAACACGTGGAAGTACCCGTTCTAGCTGACAAGAGGCGGGGACCAGAAAGGATGTGACCCTCAAGCAGCAGACGCGGTCTGGTGCCGAGCTCTGCCCAACCTCTTGAGAACGCAAGCTGCCGTGCAGTCAAGCCCGTCATTCAGTTACAGGCACCTGGGCGGTGGGCGAAGGCCCCAGAGGGAAGCAGAAGTTGAAACAAGATGTAAGGCTCTTTTTCTGGGAGGCAGGGAGCAGAGTCAGCCCCATCACGCCATGCCAGGCACCTCCGCGTCTGTCTCCCGAGCACCTTTGGAAACCTTGCTTGACCCTGCCGGTGTCACGAGGGCTCAAGGGCTCGGCAGAGAAACAAAGGTGGAATTGAGTGTCTCTTTGCCCGAGGCCGAAGAGACAGTCAGCACTGGGCCAAGATCAGAGCGTGGGCGTTTCCTGCCCATAACCTCCTCTTCTGGCCTCACCTCTCGTGCAGGCAGCGCAGCACACAGCGATGGAAAAACAAGCTTCGAAAGGCACAGCCTGTTCCCACCCGGGCTGTGTGGTTCCCGTCGTTTTGCATAGCGCTTGCAACAGGACTCAATGATGGTCTGACTTAGCATTCATTCACCAACTTAAAAGGCTATTCTGCTTTTTTGTGGTTGGCACCCGAGAACATGTCAGCCTTCTCTGTGTGCTCCCCTGCCATCTTCCCCGATCGACATGCAGTTAAAATAGACAGCGCTTCGGTGCTTACCATGTTTCACTTGCTTTAATGTAGATGCAACCTGATAGCTGAAGACAGACTCACAGAGGAATCTTTCGGAGCCATCTGTAAACAGAAAATCGGAGAGTTCTAAGACTGGGCAGCCTTAACCGAGTGCCGCTGACCTCCCATTTTTATGTTTGAGCTGTGGGTTTCCCCATTTTCCTGTTCCAACACTTTCCCCTGCGCCGAGCGTGCAGCACTCTGGTTCCTTGCCTGTACGGCCCCGTGCTCAAACCCTTCGGCTGGCTCCCGGGGCCGCTGGGGCATGCGAACGGCTGTGCTACCTGGGAGCCATCCCGGCTGATATGCTGTCACAACCCCTCTGTCCAGCAATTTTAGTCCATTTAACTAGAAGGTAAGCTAAGGAGAAGCCAGCTGATATTACAGCAGTCTCCGATTCCGCCAGGGCTCAGGCACTTGTGTGCTTATAATGCTTTATGATTTCTCACCAGCTTAGACCATAACCCTGCATAAAGGATTTCCAATAATGTGCATCTTGCCATCTAAGTCAGTAACTGATCACATAAGCGTCTCAGAAATAAATCAGTCTAGAATACAGAGCTAATCGTGTGCCAAGTACTGACACAGTTTACTTCCTTGTAAAAAAGCCCCCAAAACCTATGGGTTTATTTAAAACCAAGCGAGACAGATAGTTAAAGTAACAATAAAAATCAGTCAGCTGGTGGGGACTTTTGAAGGGGAAACTGGTACGCAGCTACCCCACCAGCACCTGCCTGATGGAAGAATGGGTGTATCACCTTTTACCTCAGAAATTAAAAAGCTAACTTAAAGCTTTCTGCGACAGGGACAGTTTAGTTGTTGCTGCCACCCAGAGCAGATGCACTGCTGTGTTACTGGTAAACAGGTCAGCCCAAAGCAAAATGAAGTAAAAGCTCCACGCCGTAAGAACGAGGAAGAGACGCAATTTCAAAGACTAAGGGTAGTAACAGGCCCCTGGCCCTGGAAAATCTAATCCAGAGCTGAACCCCAGGTAAGAGGGAAGAATCAGAGTTTTGCCATGCTCAGAGCATCCTCTCGCAAGCTGCCGAAATGCTGTGTTCATGCTACCCTGTGCTATTTCCAAACATACCCTTCCCTCTCCTCCGACTCCCCAGCCCAGCCATCCTGCCCGAGTGGCTGTTGGGAGGAACAGCTGTCTGTCTATTTGGTAACATGAAGTGCTTCATTATTTTAATTTGTTTTGAGGGCTCGTTAAGTTCTATGAGCAAGCCTTTAGTCGTAATTACTTCAATAGACTGGCATATGGGCTCTAATGCATAATAAAAACACTCCTTAAATGACGTAGCGATCAGTTCCCAGCTGCCCTGCACTGCCGTGTTCGTCTCTACCGGAGTGCAGTCACTTCTGAGCTGCAGGGCCACCCCAGTGAACTTCAGGCTTACGCAGTCACATGTGTGGCACGGTGACACGGCAAGTTCAAGAGGGGCAGACAGGCAGACAGACCGACCAACCGACCTTGGCTTAACCCTGTCATCTGGAGGACCTGCCCTTCCTCCCTCACCCAGAGCAGGGGCAGGGACGTGCAGCTGCGACGTGCCCGGGTCCTCCTTCAGGCAGCGCCGACGAAGCGGATGGCAGGGCTCGGGCACCCAAACGCAAGATGCCACACTGGATCAGAGCCCCAACCCTCTCCAGGCGGCCCTGGAGAAATGCCCTGACAAAACTGAGCCCAGAAGGGGAACACGCGCAGCCTCGAAGGATTAAAAGAGAGGTCTAGTCCTGATTTATCCTCTCGCAGACCTCTGCAGTGAGGTTTTAACGTGGGTCGAGGGCAAAAGCAAGCCCTACGTTTCCTGGCCAGCAAGGATACAAGCTGCCTCCTGTAACAGCCCAGTCAAATCCAACCCCAGAACGTGTTTTGCCAAGAAAAATACTCCTGCCTCAGCTATCTTTACAGTAGTTCCTGCCTGACATCAAAGGTTTAGCTAACAATGAGCAATTAACACTGTCATGTTCCCTTTCAGGTAGATCGCTTCCTCATCTGAAGTGTTGTCATGGAGCTAAAAAGCAGGTGACTGCCAGAAAAATCACTTCCTCATGAACAACTTGTGGGAGAGCCGAGGCTGCTCGGGACCTAGCTGAGCCCGGTGCTTCCTTCCTCCCTCCAGCTTTTGCCAGCTAAAGACCAAAAAGGCGGCGGGGTGCCAAGCTCGGAAACTCCCTTGCAGGGCTGCCTGTGCACCAGGAGGAGCGGGGAAGGAGAAGGGCAGGGGCAATCACCTTCCAGCATCTCCCCGGCTCCTTTGGGGTAAGTGAAGAGGGCTTTTCGGGGCGGCGTCAGGTCCGAGACGCTGAACCCTGATCCCGTTACAGAGCTGCCGCTGACTCCGCCGGCTGAAGAGGATGAGGAAGAGGCTGCCATTTCACCCCGTCCCAGCCTGAAAGAACAAAAAGGGAGCAAAGCGTAGTTAGGAAGGGCGTCTCGGAGTTTCCCAGGGCACGAAGCCAGCGACCGCGCACGTATCTGACGGCAGATGAGGGCGGTGAGCACAGCTATGGGCTGCTGCCCCCACTCCGTGATCCTCAGCCCCAAAGCACTGGTGATTCGGGGCTGCCCTGCACGCGTGGGAGAGGCCGCTGCCCGTGCCCACTGCGGGGACGGGTGCCGCTAGCTGTCGCACCGGGCGGTGGTACCCAGAAACTGAAGGCAACCCACCCTTTGACCTCTCGGATAAGGGGGCCTGGGAATTCAGTGGGATGATTGGAGCGTGCACAAAAATAACTTGGCAGAGGTCACTGGCCTGAATTCACTGGCCTTCAGCTGCCTGGCACTTTTCCCACTCCCCAGGGTCATAAAAAGACTTCTTTTTTTTTTTTCCTTTTCTCTTTTTGCCTTGTTTCCAGGAGCACAAACACGGAAAAAGTCCTGCTGCCTCATAAAAGCTGGAAGCATGCAGGACTGCCAGTTCCAGCGCAGCATCCTGCACGAAGCCACGCTGTGCCTGATTTGCAGCAACTGTGCTCTGCATCACTCCAGATGTGCTTTTGCTTTTCAAACACTGTGTTTGGCCTGAACTGGCAGCAGCTGAGCATCCGCCTGCCCGTTCAGCCCAAGCCCGGTTGCCTCTTGCACACCCTTTTCTCAGCCTTGTTTTTAAAAGGCATTTGCTGTACGCTTGTCATGATGGAGTACTTAAAAATCGTCACGTACCTCTCTGATAGTAAGAAAGCTGTCACTTGGCACTTAGAAGCAACAGCACTTGGTACTCCTCCAAGCCACGTATAAGCATTTCCCAATTATTCTGCCCATTTAATATATTTCTATTATCCTACCTATTTAATGCACCTCTGCAGACTCTTTCGGCTATGCAGACAGTGCCTTTGGAAAGCTCTCACGGGTTTAGTGGAGAAAATGGGTTTTTGAAAGGCTGACACAACTAGGAATTGTGTGTTCATTCATAGTTAAGCTCAAGGTCGTTTCATTTACTGTGTGTAACAGAAAACAGCGCAGCAGCTTGCAGCAGGCTAAGGGCTTACGGGCTGTGAAGGAAAATGCTCGGATAAAAGAAACCCTTAATACGGCTGCGATACATCCAGCAACACCTTCCTCCGCAAACCCGGGCAGGCCCAGCTCCCTGCTCCCAAGGGAAGCAGGACAACGGTTTGCGCTGACCTGATGCCGACCGGGGCTCGCAGAGCTGGCGGGCTCCTAGGTGCAGCTGCTGGGTTTTTATTTCAAACAGGCTGAGGCACACACAGCGGGGCGGGAGTGCTAGCCCGGACGGGGCCCGCACCGCCTCACGCCC